AAAAGGTTTGTGAAGTAGCGGGCGAGGAGGAGGAGGATGAGGAGGAGAGGGGCAGTCTGTGGTCATCAGTCACTACTTTCTGTCTGCGCTGTGCTCTGCAGCTGTTCAGCCACAGACAATAGACATGATTGGACCAGACACAGCAGGACGGCAGTCTGCTCCTGTGAGACCAAACCGCCTCACATTATAGTGTCTGTCTCCTCAAAATAATAATCAAAACTTCAGTTATGACATCCTTGTTTTGAAGTGTTTAAAAGGGAGGCGTGGAAGGATCAAGTGTCCATTGCGTGAGACTCATGATCACCCAACCGCCCACAATGTTTGTCTAAATTAAGATTGTGCTGCAATAATTTCAAAGTATGCAGATAACACAGATATGACTTAATTTAAATTCTGAGGGTGTAGACTGAAGGCAACACTCCTCCTACCCCATGTAATGGTTTTTATTAGCTTTAAACTTAATTTGGTGTTAATTTATGATATTAGGATCCTGAGTTATTTTCAGAAACAATGCGGAATAACCTAAATAATTGTAAATGGTATGCAGATATACTTTTAAATTGTGTTTTTATTCAATTAATGTCCCAAACGCAGTTTCTAATTGCATTTGAGTGCAGTCATCCAGCACACAGTATACAACACATCTCAGCAGAAAGACATGACGGTGAAAAGGTCCACATCCTGATTTTACCCCTAAAATCCTCAGTGTTGTTTGTTGTCAGCTCAAGCGTGCAGATTTCACTCTGGAGAAGATCCAGATTTTGGTTACTTTAATGACTCCGGCTCAAACATTGCGCATACACCACGGAGACTTTCTGGGCTGACGTCAGCTTAATTTGGCAAAGTTAAAAACAACATTTTCAGAATAAAAGAACTCAAGATTGTCGCCAATCTTGGAACATTAGTTGCTTTGCACCTATGGTTCCTTTGTCAGGAAATATCTATGTAATGCCGCGACCTCCCTGTGTTGAAGCCATGGTGCGAGCTCATCCTGCTGATATGCCCTAATTATGCAGTCGGGCCCCATGCAGCGAAACACACACACACACACACACACACACACACAGATACACGCATACGCCGAAGAAGGGAGGGCAGACATCTGGTACATGAGAGCTATGATTAATAGGTTAATTAGAAACGGGCTCATCAAATTCACTTTGCACATCAAAACTGGATCTACACATGACAGCACTTACTCTGTGCTCGAGTGTGTACGTGACTGGCTGCGTGTGTGTTCCCGCCTGCACCAATCAGCGGGGGCCTCAACCCATTTGCCCGGCTGTGATCAGAGCCATTTTCCTATCTGATCGCCGAGCAGCGAAGCCGGCTGCCTGAGACTTGATTGTTTATCTCCGTCCCAAAAGAGCTGAGGCAGCGAGCGGGAGAGCTGCTCTCTTTAAAAAAAAAAAAAAAAAAGTGGCATCCAATTCCTCTATGTCAGAGTAATTGACTTCTAGTGAGGTCCGCCGCTCTCCTGAGCGCCTCTGCCAGGCAAATGTGCCGCTAACCCAATGCTGTGCAGGGCTAAGAGGTTAGCTTAGATTTAGCCGGGCACTGGAGACTCAGATGTTGAATTTCAATGACCTGTCAAAGGTTTGACAAAAGCGGCTGCTGCTTTACATTATTTTTACATTCTGAGGGAAAAACAGCTTAATACTCCAGAGTGCTGCGCACGCCTTTGAATATTTAGTGTTGGTTGCTGACATTTTGATGAGTGAAGTCTCTTGAGTCGCTCTGTTGAAGATTTGCAGTATTGGACAGATATTTTCAAGAGCCGGGCTGATAGATAGCCATTTTGTCCCTCACCGAATCATTCACTCTTCCAAACACATTTTATCATGGGACTGAAGTGTTGGACTAAATTTGGCTTCAGACTTTGATGCATTCAGATTTCACCGTCTCGTCTCTCGTGGCCGTGGTAATTGCACTGTGTGCCTGTTTAGAATCCCTGATGTTTTGACTGCATAAGTAATATGGATCATCATCATTAGATCCTTACTGTTACATTAAGGAAACGTCCGGGAATTTAGGGAGCAGCAAATTGGTCTCTCATGAGTGAGACTGCAAACTGACATCCCCATATTTTTCTTATAATATATATTTATGACTCCTTTAATATTGTAGTGTCACATTATGGACTATGCACTCAATGTGGTGACAGCTCGTTGCTTTCATCAGTAGATGCCGCTATACTGTAGCAGGGGGTAAACTTCCGACTCGAGCCACAACCAATCAAGTTCATTGCAGAATAACTGAATTAATTTCTACTTTCTTGCTGCTCTGCGGGTTAATTCAATACTTTAAAAATACTCTGACACTGTAACAAAAAGTCCCATTAGGTTTGACAAAGACAAATGTTCAAATATAGTTGTACTGCGGTTGTTTGTGTTAAATAAAATTGAAAGCTTCAGATTTTGTGAGGTAAATATTGTATATTTATCTGAGAATACACCAGACATCACTATGTTTCTAGAATGACTACATTTAGTCATGGCTACCTGCACTTGGTGTATGTTTTATTGTGATCACAAAAGAAATGCAGCTTAATGAATCGGGTATTTTTTATTTTATAAGGACTTGCATTTACTGAAAACATTTCAGTTAGTGGGAAAAGGGTTCAGGGTGTTGTGGGGGAGTAAGATCAGGCCATAACAACAGTATCATGTTAGAATAACAGGAAATTGCTTGTTGCTGGGGAATTGAGAGTCAATGTGAATAAATGTGTAGTATTGTAAAATAGTAGGAAATTAAAGTTGAGCGCAAAAAAACACATTTGGTATTTGTTTAAAGAATTATTTTTCTTGATGTCTTGAAAGTACTTTATTCGTGAATTGTAATTCTACATAAAGTATACAGTGTGTGAACAGTCTGGTTTTGGAGTTGGAGACAATGACTGAATGTCTGAGCCAAGTGATAAAATACGATAGTATATCCTGCTATATTCTCGCGAAGTGACTCGTTTGCAACTACGGCTATCATCATCTATCAGCTCGAGACAGAAAGTTTCACATCCAGAGTGTGGCGTAGAGTTACCACATCTAAATGAATCATAAACCTCCAGTCATAATGTGATTCTTTCTCTTATATGAGTGCGTTTCCATTCGAATCACTGAAAACAGTAGCGGCAGACAAACATCAGTGTGTTGATGAGGAGGAGACTGCTATTTTGCTATTTTTCCATCACGTTTTCTACATCGATTTGTTTGTTTGAGGTTTGACCGGTGCACTTTTTATTGATGTCATCTCGTTGCGCCCACTTCTTCTGCAGTGGTTTAATGGCACCGGACTGGCAATTTAGCGCCAACTGCTGTTTATCTCAATAGAGGCACACTGCTGATATTCACATAACAGCAGTGAAACATTCATTTGCATTTTCATGTGCTGATCTTCTGAAAAATCTATAAAAATAAATAAAAAAAATTGCGTTTAACTTGACTTTTGTATCTTTGAGAGTATTTATCATATTCCCTCACTATTCTAGTCCAACAGAAAGAAACAGGAGACGTACTTGTTGCGTAGGCCGTGGTGGTTGTGGCGAAGAAGGATGTGGCTGGTGAAGTCGATGAGGCCGAGCCTACCGGTGCCATTCGAGACTTCTTTGCCCATGTCTGCTTCAGCTGCTCTGAACAGCAACCGGGGCCTCCGACACCCTCATGACCCCTGCTGACCTGCAACCGAGAGAGGCACGGGGTTAGCTCTGTGCTGCGAGGGGTGAGAGAGGTCAGAGGTAAGGGAACTGACCCGCAGGTCGCGTGGACTGACAGCGGTCGGGATTGTCAGCGACTCTGAAACATCTGTGTGTCGGACCCAAAAGTAAAAGTGTGGCCGGTGTGTATTTCTGGGCCTATGCGTGCCTATGCGCCATAAATAATGGATGAGCACAGAGATGAGAGTGCGGCGGAGGCAACAGGAGAAGGCACCCCTGCCAACCTCGTAAAAACCAAGCATTAGGAATTCAGAGAGCAGCGGGGGAAGATAGCATTTCTCAGCTGAAAATCCTCTGCCATTTGGTGGCACATAAATTTCAAGCCGTCTAGCGCACAATCTCTATTTTCCAACAAATTCCTTTTTTGTTGAACTACAGGGTGACACTGGTGGGGCAGCGCAGACAACTGAAAACGGCAACAACGACAACGCTGCACAATATTGGAGAAAAAGTCTTTATTGATGCAGTAAATGTGATTACCAGCCTTATTAGTAAACCAGCATTTTTCTGTGCGCTTACTCTCATCTATTCTGCTGAACTGCTGCATTCCTCCTCAATATTGTGAAAATTTGAAATTTTTGCTCGACTATCTCTGGCTTCGTTGCCAAATGAGGATGATGATTGAATAAGGTCTTGTTTGGTCTGATTAGCCAACCGACGAGCTCTACTTCCGACTACTTAAGAGTGTATGTTCCCTTACAGCAACATATATAACTGACCCTTGCTCGAGCTTCTCGTTTCCTCTCTGAGTTTCTCTCGACCTCTCCCTCCCCCCCCTAATCTCAGTGAGCGGGCGAGGTGCCATGCTGACTCTGGCACCCGGCGGTGCCAGGGCCTGGCTGCTGCTCCCAACATGATCTTGGTGCGACCCTCGTGCCAGCCAAAAAGGTCAAGTGGAATCCCTGCTCACTTTATAATCCTCCTTCTTCATGACACCTCTGAGGCTGCAGACGGAGATGGTGATGATGACGCCATTTGGTGCACTGCTTTTGTTCAAAATGCCCAAACCAAACGCTGACACTACGAGTGAGTGACCTGAACACGACCTCTTAATGCAATTTAGTGTTAAGTCCTTAACGTTGTCACTATATTTGCTAGAAAGGCGATCTCATCCAGTGATATAATGCGAGTAAAAGGGGAACTGAATCCTTCAATCTTGAAATCTGAATTGCCAACTTGACATTTTAGAAAATTTGCGAGCTAAATGTCCCCTTCAGCCTGTAGCGTTTCTGCCCGGCCGGCGTTGGCAAACTGATAAGCGAGAGGCCCACGGCAGGACCCATTCATCAATGTTGATGTCATTAATACGAATACTTACATCCGGAGAGTACACAACCTCGTGTTTGCAGTTCGTAGCCAGGCAATCTATTGCGGTATGTTGGTCATCTTAAGACAGAGCCAAGTCTCCTCTCAATAGCCTATATCTGTTTTCCCAAGCTGCTCTTATCTTGACCCCTCTGCTCTTCTTTTTGCCTGCTTATCTCTCTCTAAATGCACCCAGCACTTTTTTTTTTATTCTGGTGTGACGGGAGTATCATCTCTGTGCTGTGGCTCCAGATTTCTGCAGGCAGAAGTGTTTCCAATTCGAACCGCTGTGAATAGGAGTGCAAGCTAAATGTCTGAAATGGAAAAATGTGGAGCCTGCTCAGTAATTCAGTGCGGGTCCCGCAGCTATCACGCACGCACACACACACGCGAAGTGTAAAAGTTGCTCTGACAGCGGTGTGTGTGAGTCTGGCCACGGGCGCTCCAGGTTTTATGACCAGAGCTGCTGAGCGGGCTTCAGGACTTCACACTGAGCCTGTGTGTGTGCGTGTGTATTATGCCGGAGACGGCCTTATGAATGCTAATGCCGCAAACAATGCAAACCCCCTCCCAAAGAAAAGAAAAAAATTCAGACACGGACACAGGGAAACATCACCACTTCTAAAACACACACACGGTGAACTTGTAGAGACGCTCCGCCTGCCTGTGCCTCCTCCTTTATTGTGCTGTAGCTGACAGGGAGTGGTTCATTTGTATTACAGCCGCCGCAGAGCGCAGCAACCTTAAAGAGGCTCCCTCAGGCATCGTTCAGCGTCACACCCGCCCCTTCACGCCACCTTTAATCGCCGTGCCCGACGGCGTATCGGCAGCCTCACTCACACACACACACACAGCTGCATCGAACCTGCCCGTCTGCACACAATCGGAGCACCAATGCACGATGGATTAAAATTCTCAATTAGACGGATTAGAAAACTGGAAACAGAAATAATTGTTGTCAGAAAACAAACAAACAAACAAACAAACATCAGATTGAAAGAAACTGACATCGAACCGGAAACTGGAGCGTGTGTGCGCGCGACTCTGTGTGTGTGTGTGTGTGTGTGTGTGAGGATGGCGGATCAGTTGGATGTGATCAGGAATAATAATCGATCAGATGTATTTGTTGTTTGTTATGAGGCGGATGTTTGTGTACCGGCAGCAGAACAATAATAAACAATAAACAGTAAACAGGCCCGACGGAGGATGAGGCGTTCAGGGGCTGGTTAGAGGGTGGGACTGTGCACTGTCAAGGCGAAAATAATAAGTGCTGCTCACAGCATCCGGTCCGTGTTTTCAAAATAAAAACTACTGTAGCATTCTCTAAAATAAAATAAACAAGTGTTTACAGACACACAGTGTTTGTTTGTTTACAGCGACACATAAAATAAACACGTCTCACATCCAAACAGTAAGAACACAGGAAGTGTGATGAGGTGGTGAAGCAGCAAGGGATCATGGGAGTTGTTGTCTTCACCACCATTTCCTTCATGTTTCTCTGATAACTGGACTGCGGCTAAAGCTAACAGAGCCACTGGTTCCCAACCTGAGGGTCGGGGCCCACTGGGGGTCGGCAGGCCTCGATGTTAAGGACTGTAAAATACACACAGTGGGCCGATATCTCAGCATTAAACTATTAAAGTTAACAGTTGTTTTTAAAGTGTATATGACATTATTATTATTATTATTATTATTGATCGCAGTGTATATTATTATTATTATTGATCGCAGGGTACAGTGACAGAGCTTCAGTCTCTGATCAACAGCCTCGTCCTGCATCAGAAAGCAAACAGCTGATAGATCAATAATCAATAAACAGTGAATCTGTCAGAAAGAAGAATATTAAGTCTGATTGTTAAAATGATAAAAATACAGAATACAGACAGAGAATGGATCAATATATCAGGAAAACTCATCTCTGATCAATATTCACAGGAAATAATCAAACTTTCTGCAGTTATTGATACTGATCAATATGAAATATAGATAATAAACTGGTGTAGTAAGTCACAGCTGGATAAACACCAATAAATTCATATTGTTTTCTATCGTTATATAAACGAGCTTACACACATAGAAAAAGATCATTAAAATAAATAAAATACATTTTATTTACTAATTTAATAAATAACTTAATTGAACAAAATTATAAACAAGTATTAATTGAAATTAATACAATTAAATTAATAATTAATTAATTATAAATGAAAATGAATAAAGATATTTTTATTTTATTTTCTTATTTAAGAAATAAATCAAATATGATGAATAAAAAAATACTAATAAAAAGAAAATGAAAATATTGTATCTTTTTTTATTTGATTTGATTAATAATTAAAATAATATAATAATTAATATTGATTAAAAGAAATAAAAAGATAGAAGTTTGTATTTTAATGTATATTTTATTTTATTATTTAATCAATAACTAAAATAAAAAAGTTTATATAATCAGTCAATAATGAAATCGATGCTGATATTGATGAACATTTAACAACAACAGTAAAAAGATGAATTCACAAAATAAAAGGACCGAACTTCCTCTTTTTGTATCAGAGGGGCTTTTATTGTGAAGGCAGTGGCCGGATGTTGTTGCGGGGTCTGCTGATGCGGGTTTGACGCTGCTGGATGCGGAGCTGCAGTGCGGACAAACAGGCTGGATCCGGAGAACCTGACACCCCACAGACCGCCTCTGACCGCCGACCCGGGTCCGCCTGCAGCCGGGTCGTGGATCAGGTTTTTGTCCTGGATTTGACTCCCGGATCCGGTCCAGCAGGAGGAGGGTCAGTCCGCATCCTCCCATCCTCCCATCCTCCCATCCTCCTCCTCCTCAGCTGCACCAGCGGAGCATCGGAGGAGGACCCGGACCCGGACGGCAGCGGGGTTTTACTGGGCGCTCCTGGACTCGGAGGGGACATTGAAAACCCGTTTCTTTCTGGACTCGGTGCGTCCCGGTCCCGCAGCGGGTCTGGACTCGGTCTGGACTGTTAGAGGAGGAATAAATGGTGGTTTAGTCCTGCGGGAGTCTGAGGCCCAAACCCCGGCCCCCCTTTAGAGGAACGGTGGGTTTTCTGGACCAGGACGGTCTGTGTCAGATCCCAGATGAAGATTCCCAAAAGGCGGAAAAGGAGCGGACGGTGCGCCAGGTAGGCCTGATCCGGAACCGACCTGATCCGGACTACAGAGAGAGAGAGTGTGTGTGTGTGTGTGTGTGTGTGCGCGTGTGTGTGTGTGTGCGTGTGTGTGCCACAGTGAGCGGAAGTGAATTTATTGATCCGTATCGGAGATATTTGATCAGATCGGGGCCTGATGATCATTTAATGGGCTCTGATTCATAACTCGGGTCAGTCCGGGCCAGATTTATTGATCAGCAGGATGTGATGGTGCGCATGCGCACAGAGGACCCATGACTGTGCACTGCAGAGAGAAAAGATTCAATAT